GCAGTGACGATGAAGAGCTGTCCAGGGACAGAGACGTGTATGTGACTACCCACACTCCCAGAAACACCAGGGACGAGGGCGCTGCAGGCCTCAGGTACCGACATGCCCCCAGCTCTGCTGCCGCCATGCTAGGGTGTGGGGCCAGGGCAGAGAAATACTTCTCAGCAAATCTGTGAGCCCTTGGCCCTGGAAGGGCTTGGTGAAGCTTCTGTCCAGCATCTGGATACAGTTGGAACTGGGTCTGGAACTGAGTGCAGTTGTTCCCACTGTAACCAGAATATGTGAGCACTAACAGGTGGGCACAAACAGTCCCAGTGGCCCCAGACAGGGATCCTGGGGCTGGTGGGGACCCAGGGGAGGGCAGGGTGGCTGAGGTTATCTGTACCTTCTCTTGTTCCCCTTTCTCATGTTCACCCTGCCACATACCCTTGAGGCAGTTGGCTTGCCCGAAAGTCTCGTGGGTGCCTATGCTAAAGCAGAGTCAGAGGAGGCCAGGGGCGGGACTCTTGCAGGGGATACGGACACTTACATGAAGGCCACTTGTGGGGTATAATGAAATGTTTGCGTTTACTGAGAAACTAATGTGAAGCACTGTGATCTTAGGCCCTCTGGTACTGTCAGTTGTCCTATCTGCATGGATGGATACTCAGAGGTAAGTAAGCCAGGCTGGATCTTCCTTGCTTCTGGTTTCTAAACTTCAGTGAAAGAACTGGGTGAGACAGGATCTTCTGCTTTGGTGAAATTTGACACCTCTACTTGCAGTCATGCCTGGTCCATCCCTTGCTGCACATCTGTCTGTGAGGGGAGAATGTGCCAGTTTCTCCTTGGACCCTGCAACTTCACCTTCCCCTGTATGCCCTGAGCTTCCAGGTGTAAATGCATCCTCTTTTCGCGTCCCCCATTCTGGCTCTAACTGGAAGCTGCTAGTGTTTACTGGGGTCCCTCATAACCCTCTTGGGCTGCCACACTGCTGAGATGCCGCAGCCCCTGCCTCCTGCTCTCCAGCTCCAGGTACAGTTAGCTCTCCAGAGCCCCTCCCTGTTGCTGCTGCAGCCTGGCTCGCTCTTCCCTCTAATTGGTCATCTTAGGCATAGACAGGGGTGGGATTCTCTGGGGACAGTGGCTGCTCTGGGACAAGGGCAAACTCAGAGGCTCTTCTTTTTAATGCCTTCTAGATTGTGCAGAATGGACGTCTCATCGTTTCCACAGAATGTGGCCATGTCTTCTGTAGCCAGTGCCTCCGTGATTCCCTGAGGAATGCTAATACTTGCCCAACTTGTAGGAAAAAGATCAACCACAAACGGTACCACCCCATTTATATATGAAGTATTCAGAGCTGCTCAGAGAGACGGATGGACAGACAGACAG